CTTCAGTGAGAATCTCCCAATGTAAATGGTCATGAAAATAAAGACAATGCATTGAATGAAACGGTGTGTCCAAACTTTTGGCCTGTGTTGTTTGCTGGTGTAGTAGCAGCATTTCTCTTGGAAGAGTTTAGAGTTTGGTAAGAAAATTCAGCAATTACCAGCATAAGCCATACATACTTTTTTCAGCGACAAGTTATTTGTTAAAATTTTAAGATATTGATGTCCGAAAGCTGAATTTACGATAGCCCTGGGAAAACCTTTGTAACAAGTGCGGACCTTTCATGGTGAGTCCCATTCAGGCCTAGTCCAAATAACCGCACCTGCACCCTATGGTCGTCAGCAAAGTGCACTTGGAGGAAGTGTGCAGTAAGGCTTTGAGTGCGTAGTACACAACTGTGCAAACAATTGCTAAATTGAAACTGTGAGCAGAGTGAGCATTGAATCATCGACTACGATGCATGCCAGGATGTCTGTTGCTGTTTGTGCCACAGACATTGATGTATGTCAATATATGATGTCTATGGTTTGTGCTACTTTTTAAACATTCTTTATTAACAACTTTGTAACAATAAATTATGTGACTAAATTTACAGTCGGGTGTCATGTTCTGAGGTGAGTCCTCCTCATTAACCTTTAGCTGAGCTCCTCATTCCAGGTGGGAATGTGCTGAGAAGAGGTCCCAGCTGCAGCTCATTCCATCAGATGGCTGCTACAAAAGAAGTGGTAGAAAAAAGCAAAGTATTTGCAATCAGGAATTAAAAAGTGAAGCTTTGATTTATGATTAGTATTCTGTCCCATTACTTTTGGTCTCAACATGTGGGAGGCACATTTGCAAACGATTGTAATTCCTACACCATTCACCTGATTTGGATGTAAATACTCTCAAATAAAGCTGACAGTCTGCAGTTATAGCACATTGTGTTTGTTCCAAATCATTTTGGTGTATAGAGCCAAAAATATTAGAATTGTGTTGATGTCCCAACATTTACGGACCTGACTGTAAATTAATAGCCGTCTATATCAAGCTTTGTTGCAAACATTCAGAGCTTGGGTAAATATCATTAATCATCATAAAATGAACTTATTAAATTTTGGGTAAAAGAGGAAATGATAAAAAGTTGTTTTTAATATTGAAGATTTGATTTTCCATAAACATTCCAAATGTATATTTTCCTGACCGTAAGCAGAGAAATTTTCTTTTTCACTTTTATTCTCAACATTATATTGTTGACTCTGCTGTCTGTAGAATTGTACTGAATGTTAATAAAACAAGTGATTAAATTACTGGCATGTCGTGTCTAAAATTACTCACCAGAACAGTTACTGGTTATGCAGCGCACCAGGCTGAAGACCAAAGGTGACAGATCATCTGCTGCTGTGGCCCCCAGACTCTGGACCTCCCTCCCCCTGAGCCTGAGATCAGTGGACTCAGTGAACTCCTTCAAAAAGCAGCTGAAAACTCACCTGTGCAAAGCTGGCTTTGGTGTGACCTTCTTCATCACCCTCTCCTTCTTCTGCTCTCCCTACCTATTTCACCTTCCTCAAGATCCACTGATTTCCCTCTTTCCTATTCACACACTCTCTCTCTCTTTACATTTTTCAATCACAATAGTCTATTTTTGCTTATTTAAAACATATTTTTAATCATTTTCTAAATTCTTAATATTTTACATTTTTTGTTTCTGTGAAGCGCTTCGTGATTTTCATCTTGAGAGGCGCTATAGAAAAGATTGTTGGTAACGCATCATTTTACAGTTCCTTAATTACTAAGTACTTACACTGTAATTACACAGTAAGTAAAAGTGTATTATTGTGTAATTAAAGTGTATAATTGTAATAAAGTGTAAATATTGTGTAAAGCAGTATTAACTGGGAATGATTAAAAAAAATTAAAACTAGAATTGAACCCAAGTTACATGGTAATAACTGTTTAAGAACTCAGAAACAATAATACACTTTAACTTACTATGTAAATACCATTTAAGTACTTAGTTATTAGGAGACTGTAAAGGGAAGCGTTACCAGATCGTTGTTTCTTCTTCTTAACAATACTTATCAGACACGTGATGCTTTTTTCATTTTAAACAGTGAAACATTTTATTGTAATCATATATGTACACAATTAAGAAATACTCTATGTTTTGATAATTATACTTGAAAATACATACTTGGCACTTGAGCCATTGCTCCAGTTTCTCAAAATTCCCACGCAGCAATGGATTGTGGGTAATAAACTTCACAGAAGTCCACGACGATTTGGACTTTGGCAAATTGTAGATCAAGAATGCAAATGGGAATGGTCAACTTCTGCACTTCACAGGGTGGTAGTGTGAATATTGGGACTTGGCTCAGTGTGTGTGTGTGTGTGCGTGCGTGCGTGCGTGCGTGCGTGTGTGTGTGTGTGTGTGTGTGTGTGTGTGTGTGTGTGTGTGTGTGTGTGTGTGTGTGTGTGTGTGTTGGCATAGCAGGTTAATCTCTGCTAGCTATTTTACAACAAAAAAGCTATTTCTGAGGCTAAAACATTTACCTAAGGGTCTGTTTCACTAGTTCTACAAGTACTACTTAGAGGGTGATGTTGATTTTGTGTTTAAATTCTTGAGTTAACTTTGTTCATCCATTTTCTGTGTTGCTAATCTGATTCAACATACTGTAAAATATATATTTTATGTGAAAATCTAGTGCAAACACCTGTACTTAAATTTGTTTTGGAATTTTTTGGATGAAACTGAAAGGTAATGTCAGGGTTTCCCACAGCGCTTTATAAGCCTGGTGGGCCACCAGGTTTTGCTTGATCAACCGCCAGGCTAAGCATGGTCCCCACCGCCCCTCCCAGCCCGACCTGTCCTGCTGACATTGACGAGGCACAGCAGCAAATGAACCGCGGGCCTCCCCTTCGCTAATACTGATGAGAAACGGTAGTGGAGCACAGCAAAAACTATTGATTTCCCCGCCACTAATGGGTTTCTGGTTAAAAACCCAACGCCAGTGGTGGTGGTGAGCCCCGTTGCTGGTCGATGATCCCAGCCCTTACCTCCCAGTCAGTCTGTCTGGTGTAAGGGCCCTCCTGCAGGCCCACAGAAACACTGTGTGAACTGTAAAAGGAAGACTCAGTCATCCTGATCTCAGGACAGAGTTTGCATTCTCAGCCCAGGTTTGATGACTTCTTATGGTACATTTTTGTATTTCCCATAGTACCTTTGTTGCACCTCGTTCCTCTCCTTCAGGGAATGTCAGGTTATTCATATAATCACTGCTCCCTGAAGAAGAGAAACGAGGTACAATGCAGAGCTGCCCCCTTCGCAGCCAAGTTTGGTGAAGAATGGCTATCGAACTAAGAAATGTCAGCGACATCAGGAGCTTGTAGGTAGAGGGCGGGGCCACCAACCAGCGTCACGCTCATTTGCCTTTACAGGCATGATTAGATGAGTCTTTAACCAGGCCACACTAGGATGTGATGTCCCATAATACCTGTGTTTTACCTCATTCCTCTCCTTAAGGGAACAATGGTTTTATGCATAACCTAACATTTCACACCCAAAGCTCCTTTTGTCCTGATCTGGTCCAGATAGGTCTCTTTTGTTGGTGCAGAGGATGACTGTTAGCATCTAAAGTGCTACGTGAAGAAGAGCCATTTCAGTACACCATCACAAATGTTATGTTCATCAAGTCCAGCTGTGAGTGTTTTAGCCACAACATTTTCCAAAACCTTGGAGATGAACAGGAGTTTAGAGACCGGACGATGAATGACAGACTGTAAATGTTCCCTTGACAACAGGGGCTTGGTCTTAGCCAGGCATCTCAAATGAAAAAAAAAACAAAAAACTGGAATGTAGGACCTGCACTTGTGTAGTGTCAGAATCAGAGGACTCCAAAGAATTTTACACGGACACACAGAGGGTGAGGAGCTACATTTGGCGCTTAAACATTAGCGTCAGTTCGTAATTTGGTTTCACACACGGGTCAGATTTGTGTTTTCGGTTCCGAGGCCACTCTTTTTTTCACACCTCCTCCCCAGCAGTTAGACTGGGACCGAGGTGACACTACGAACTGATCGGCCGGCTGAAATTACGCCCACCGCCTCAGACTTGCGAGTAGAATCAGCCAGCAGGGGGTTCCCGCATGCGTGATTCACTCATGCTGGATGCTGTTGAGTAAACTTCTCTGTCTGTAGCACAGAGCTGCCGATTAGTGGGAACAGGGGAAGAGTGAACCATATGTGTGCGTGTGTGTGTGCGTATGTGTGTGTGTGTGTGCGTATGTGTGTGTGTGTGTGAGAGATTGAGAGAGAGAGAGAGTGTGTGTGGGCCTGTCCTCTGCATCAGAGCTCTCACCCCAGCGACATCTGCTCAGTGGAGAAAGAAGTGTGTGTGTGTGTGTGTGTGTGTGTGCGTGCGTGCGTGCGTGCGTGTGTGTGTGTGTGTGTGTGTCTGCAGCAGAGCACAAGATAATGAGGACGCACACAACAAATTAATAAAACAAAGTGGTTCAGATTCTCCAAAAGCAACACAGCTCATGCCCACCTTTGTTTATCTTATTACCGAGAACACCGCAAACTTTCCCGTGCGTGTTAAACGTTGCCCATGGGCTCAGAGATTTCTGCATTCCTGAGAAGTCCCTTGGATTTATATGTGAAAACTACACCGCCCATTCGAGACCAAACTCACGCCATCCAGCCCCACAAAACCCAGACCGTACCGACGCTAGTGTGTAAGCGCCAACTGTTGCCACAGCTGCCCTGGGGCACACTTACTTCTGTCAGTGTGCCCTGGGGCACACTGACAGAAGTAAGGCTGCCGTGCACAGGCACCACCAGTCCCTCCAACTACCACCAAAAGGCAAGAAGGGTCTTGCCCAAGGGCAAAACAGCAGAATTCTCTGCAGGGAGCTGGGATCAATCCGACAACCCTCTGATTACTAGACAACCCACGCTCTACCTTCTGAGTTACTGCTAACAACTAACAAAGAAAGTAAGCTGCGCAAAGTCTTCTGGAAAAGCTCACCTTTGTTGCCAGACCCAGGGCAATGTAGCACTTCTCTCCAGCATCAATAATCTCCACTTCATAGTAATGGCAGCAGGTCGTGAGTGGGTGGCGGGCCTGGGCCAAACCAACATCCATGATGCTCTTTCCTTTGCCAACATATTCCAGCAGCTAAGAAGAAATGAACAAAGAGAATAAAGCACGAGACTACATGAAAATAAAAACCAATAAAACAAGTAATACGTGTGAAATGCCAATAACTGTCCTGATTTCAAATGTAACATGAATACCATTTATAGAAAATATAAAAACATAATATTATAGGTGAGCATAAAGACACGTGTAAACACAATATCACAGTGCAAATATATCTGCATTGATCTCAGGTAAAAAAATAAGTAAGCTGTTGATGTTATTTGAGTTGTGGGTGGGCCTGAATGATCAGAACCTCTGGGTCGCTGCTCTTTTAATTATTTAATGAGTTATGATTGTCTGGCCTCACTGAATTCATTGTCAAATCCTGGGATAAATGGGAATGGACAATGACGCCCTTGGTTACCAGTTTATTCCTTTATTTCCTACTGTCCAGTGCGACATCCTTTCTGGGTTGATCAACTTTTCTGGCAGCATGGAAATGACCAGTTTTGTTTGTTCACAACTATTTGTATAGCCTGCTGTAATGCACAAAATATATTTTTTCTGATTTAAGAGGGGAAATCCCTGCTTTTAACAGGAATCACAAAAAAAATCATTAAACCAAATAAGAAAGCTTGTTCAGCATGAGGAATAAACATAAATCACATGACCATAAGCTAAATACGCCTTTTCTACTGATGAGGATCAGTCAAAGCCACACTTCGTCCTTCAGATACTCAAACCAACATTCTGTCTGACAGATGTTCATAGATGTGAAGTAGCTGGAATCTAACTGCAAACTTTTTTATTGGCAGAAAACTCTTTTCTCTCCTCGTCCACAGCTTAGTCCCTCTGTACAGCATTTAAAAAGCTCCTGCAAGGGTGAGTGGCGGATAGAAAAACAGGTGATCATGCTTGAACAAGATTCTCTGCCCCCTCTGAACCGTTTTCATAAAGAGGCGAAGGACTTAATCATATTGCTAGATTTTGCAAGTGTGTGCTAAGTGAGTGGGCATTAAATTATTGTATCTTAAAACGTACAAATCCAGTAAAATCCTCACAGAACCGCCTACAGACCCAGCCTTACAAGTCTGAGACTGCAGGTCACAACTAACCCTAAGCCCCATCACAACCCCATAATACAGCTATGCCCCAGCCTATTTTGGTCTTAAGTATCTGAACAGGTGCAGACAGGTGAATACAGGTGAGTAGGTGGGCAGGTGATCTATCCCCTGGAAAAAGGCTCACATGACTGACAGGGGTAGAGAAAAATGTTACCAGTTTATTAAATTTCTTTGTTGCACCACCTCGAATTCCACATAGGTATATTTATTTCACCATCCACCACACACACACACACACACACACACACACACACACACACGCACGTACGCACGCACGCATGTCAGAATGAAAAAATGAATGCAAGTCAATGAGACTAAAAACGCAATTTTCTAATTCCGCTTGTATATGATGTCCGTTAATTTTAAAGACATATTTTGATACCAAGAAAGTGCTAGTTTCGGGGAAACGCTATTTTAGGTTTTGTGTGAAAATAAGTCCAAGACTACAAATGCGCTTCACGACAGTGACATCATCGAACCAGACATTGAGAAAAACTGAGGGAAAATGGCTGGAAGTTCTGCAAACATCAAATCCTTCCTTCAGGAGGAAAGAACCACCTTAAATCTGGTCATTTGGTAAGTAGCAGCTACGCTAAGGGAGAGGAGATTCTGTGGTGACGTGCCGATGTCTGATTTGTAGTCATGATAATTACGAACTTTTGCAAGCTGATAAATCTCAAAGTACATGACTGGCGTGGTAGCCACCCTTTACATTTTGGTTAATAAAAAAAACAACAACGATGCAATAAAAACGATTACCAGAAAACTAGAAATGAAATTGATCCATCCATCCATTTATCCATCCATCCATCCATCCATTTTCATCCGCTTATCCGGAGTCGGTCGAAACACCATCATTAGTTTGCATTTAAATTGCAGTACAACATATGTGCGATCCAGGGCCTAAGGCAAAAGGGGATTAGAAAATAGCAATTTTTTTTCCCGTAGACTTGCATTCATTTTTTTCTTCCGGGGACCCATGAGCCAACCGAAAAGTGAGGAGACTTAGGCTCCCTATATACTCCCTATATACCTTTCAGTTAAGTGTCCATGTAAACAGAGATTTGGGATTTCCGATCAACCAACATTTGAATCGGATTGGGGAAATTTGGCGCATGTAAACGTAGCTAATAGGGCTGAACGATCTATCGTTTTTGGACCGAAATAGCGATTTCAAACAGCACGATCACGTGAACGCCAAAGCTGCGGTTTTAGTGGTTTTGACTGATCCAGGATCTGTTGTGTAACTTTTTTTTACATCCGGGGTTTTCCCCCCGTGTTATGACAGCGGCAAAAGCCAGCGCGAGGAGGGGGTGGGGTGTACCGTCCAGAGCTGAGCCCAAATCCACAGCTGACAGAGCTGCATGTTCAGGTTTTTTCCCCATTTTATGTTTCCACACATATCATATAGAGCCGATAATAATGGCACTGTAGGTGAGCCCAGGACAGAGAGAGAGAACGTAGTTGAGTAAAGGCTGATTCATGCTTCTCCATCTGCGTCAGTGCGGAGACACGCAACGCCATTATCCGTCGTTGCTTAGGGCCCCGGGAGGCACACAAGTAGATACGGAGTTGAACCCACTTTTTTAAACATCCGTCGAACGAGACGGAGAACCCAAGCTTGTGATTGGTCAGGGCACCGCTGTCATCTACACCGCCGCCATTGCGCCCTCAAAAACATAAAGAAAGCCGAGAATAACTAGCGGCAGACACGGAGAAGCTTGAAGAATACCTCGCGGAAAAACTCTAAAGTATGAACGTTTAATACCCCGTGATTGAATGAGTGAAAAGATACGCAGCAAGCGTTTTATTTGTGGACGGAAATGACAGGAAACGTGGGTTTAGAGGTGGCGAGCGCATGAAGAGGTGGAGAAGAATGAGAGACAAATTTATCCGTGTTAAAAAGCCTCATATACAAAAAACACAATATAAACACACTATCTTGGACGGATACATGACAAGATACCAAAGAACAGCACTACGCCCTCTGTTGTCCTGGTGGGGAATTACTTTGCAACACTCCCCAGGAGCCAGAGAAGTATGAAAGCAAAACGCTTCCGTCAAGCCGTGCGTGTCTGTCCCTTTGCGTAGCTGACGGAGAAGCATGAATCAGACTTAAAGGTTGGTTTATGCTTGACGCGTCCGCGAGGTTCGCACGGCTCCGCGTGGCAAAATTGCGTCATTTTCACAACCACACCCCTCCACCTGGCCTCCACACGGCCCAAACTTTCCGCACCGTGCACCTAGGAAATTTTCTAACCACGCGGATGGCTGAACACAGAAAAACATGGCGTACTGGCAAGAACTAGTTATGGCAGAGTTCGTAAATACAGACATTCGTATGATTCAGCTCTCAAAGATCATCGTGATCAACATGTTAATAATTCTTGAAGAGGAATAGCTTGCGCTGTCGGAAAAGATGTGGACAACAGCATTTTTGAGTTCAGAAACTCGTTCTCAGCTGATTAGCTCCATCATATTGTCCCAATATAATTCAGTAATCTACAGATACGTAAAATAACGTGTTGCCAGCTTTACCGCTGTGTGTATTTATTGATATAACATCGGAAAATATTTAACTAATTGCTTACCAGAATGGCTTGGCAGGCTAGTGTTGGACCTTTGTTTGCAGAAAATCGTGAATTGAACCAAAATCGCAATTTCTGCTAGAAAAATTGCAATTCAAGCTTTTCCTAAAATCGTTCAGCCCTAGTAGCCAATATCCCCTGCCTACCCCGGAACATTTTGGAAGATCTGTCGGAGGTGGGAATTGAAACTTTTTATGACAGGAGACTTTGCCAGACGTTCCCAGCAGACCCTCAAAATAAGCTTGGGCCTGCCAGGTCTGACCGGCATCCTCCCCCACCATCAAAGCCAACTCACCACCAGGTAGTCGTCAGTTGACAGCCCCGCCCCTCTCTTCACCCGAGTGTCCAAGACATGCGGCCGCAGGTCAGATGAGACGACAAGAAAGTTAATCATTGAGCTTCTTTTAAAACATACAATTGGGATTTGTCAGTGTAAGACTTTTTAAGACCCGGCAGACAGTAAGTACTTCAGTTAATTCAGCAGCGTTAATGTCAGGAAAATCTTGCAATATATGATGAAAACGACTGATGGCCATCCTCTTACAAAATCCATTTTTAAGGAAAGTTACTAATTGAAAGGTTCTTTGCATCTGGATACAACCTAAGAGATGGAAAAAGAGACCGATGTGAGGAAAAAAATATAAGATAAAGAAATACGGAGATGAGAATTAGTCTGGATGGTTAATGTTGACCATAAAAAAAGACCTTGACTGTTACTACATTTTTCACAATAATCTATCATCTTTCTTTGAATGCCAAATATTAATATCCACATTCTCAAAGTGATGGCTTACATTACAGCTTCTTCGGAAAACCTTACTGATTGATTGTGTGGACAACAGGTTTCAACATTAGCCTCCCTCTTTTGTTGTTGCAGTCAGCCCTTCCTTGAGCACTCCCCTGTCTCCTTAACTTGTCGTACTTTCATGCCTGGACAACTGCTTTCTTTAGGGCAGAGGAAGAAAGAGTTTCAGTGTGATGCAAACTCAGTCACACCTTTTTCCTTCTTAATAGGAGGAAAGATGAGAGTAGAAAAAGATGTAGCCTTAAGCTAAGCATGCCAGACTGATACAGCTAACAATCTATGTTTCGATTAGCTCCTTTAATTCTAAGAGGTGAGGATTGTGGCAATGATGTGAAATGCCTTGTTTGTTAAGCTGCTGCCTGGGAAACCGACATAACATCCAGAAATCATTGATGACTGTTTCATATTTCAAATTAAAGCTAAAATGGCAAACCTGCAAACAAGCATGCAAAAAACATTTTATTTCATGCCTCTTAACAACATTCTAACATATTATAAAATGAAGTGGTTCTCTGACAT